TACCATCATAATTTACTTATATTTATTCAGGTATAATAAAATTACAGATGGATAGATGGATTGATTCAGTGTAAACACTCAGCTAACAATATTATGTTCTAAAACATTATGATAACGACGGTTACATTTTGGTGATAAAAACGTTATTTTGTAGAACCATATGTACATAGTTTTTCACAACCTCACAACATTTGAACGTTCTTACAACGTTGTGTGAACATTATTTTGTGACTACTGTACCTTACCACAACTTTCGCGAACGTTGGATATTTCTAGTGGGTCCTTCTGGTGGTGATTGGGCAGACAGCCAGGAGACATCCCCTACTCTTTTCGAAAGGAGCGTACTGTGTTCTTTAATGTGCATATTTGCCATAATGCAGACAGGACCAACTGCCTATACGTCTCATCCAAATGACGGTGTGCTATCGTAACTTGCAATCAGCCCTCCGGCTGAAATACAATCAGTGCAGCGATTGGAATTGAAACGGGTGCCGAGAAATTTCCATGATTTAGTGCACACACAGTGACTACCACCAGTTTAGCTGACTGAGCTAAGTTGCTTTCACAGAATGGCAGCTAAGGGATGAAAGTGTTTGTATTGCAATATATAATTATATAAAAAAAAGCATAAAATATCACATACAATTTGCATCAGGGACATTACATATGTATTTATATAAGTACAGTATAAAATTTAATAAGTATAAAATGCTCAAAATGCAAACAAAGTTAGAGTTTACAAAGAATGATCACCAAACTTTAAACTAATACAAATTACAGTCCATAGACATAAATAAAATAGGTAGGTCTACAGCAGGGGTGGCCATTAAAATTGGTCGGAGGGCCAAAGTGAAATTTTGATTCAACTCCGAGGGCCGCACCTAAATTTTGATGTTTCAGTGCACTTCCAAAAAACCTTCATACACTGTTTTATGGCCACTTTATGCTCAGTTTTACTGTTACTCTTTACAGATGATCGGTGCCAGGCCGCAAAAAAACAATGTGTTTTCTAGCCAAAGGTGGTTGGCACACATAGGGTTTGTAAATTATTTTTTCGGGCCGCAAAAAAAAAATCACTGGCGAGCCGCAAGCGGCCCGCAGGCCACACTTTTCCCACCTGTGGTCTACAGTAGGCCTATAGGTAAAATAACTAGTATTAATAACATATTATTAAGCATTTGTATTTATTTATTTTTTTCTATTTAATGAACTTCTCACAAAATAGTGATGGATACGAGCCAACAGGTGACGAAGACCTCTACAAAGGCTCGATCCATTGTAATAAAAATTAGAAGTGTAATAAAAATATATAGTGTTAAATTTTATTTAACTGCAATGAGTTGCCTTTTATTCTTACATTATGTATTTAAAATCACCTAACTTCACCTTGCACTTGAAGTGTTGAAATGCAAATCTATTAAATGTTTAATCCCTTAATCTCCTGGCTGTAAATGTTTTGACAAAACACAAGAGACATTTAAAGATTTTCAATAGATAACAATTTATTCTCTTCCCTAATGGGCTGCCTTCATAATTTAATCTTGATTGGCAATTAGTTACAAGTTCTTGACATAATTCTCACTTATACAGTACTGTTTTCCCTAAAGATCTGGTGAGCAAGGCTATGGGGCTTAAAAGTGACCTTCATATACCACACCTCAGAATATTGAGTAGACTTTAAAAATTTGCATGTCACTCATTTTTCTTACACAGCCTATCAAACATAAATCCAGGTACAATAAAATTTGTGTTTTGTATCTATTATAAGCCGTCATAATCTGTGTAATTGCACTCTTTCTTTGTCCATCTTTTCTACCTTTGATATTGTCGTCCTACCTTTCGAAGGTTAGTCCTACCTATCCAATAATACATTTATTCAATTTTTTTTTCATAGAAGTATACAGTAGCTTATCTCAGTGGTTAATGTGCGGCTTCTATGCTCTAACATGCACTAAAACTTCAGTCATGCTCCAAATATTATTTTTTTTATTGTGGAGATTATGTTGGCCTAACTGTTGAGTCCACTAACACTACTAGTTCTTATAACATTTGTATTTTGGTAATTTTATCATTGTAATTTGACCATGACTGGTCTCTGAAAAATCAAAAATAGAAATTGATGTTATGTATCAATGCTCTATTTTTAATTACAATACTGAATAAAGTAGATGTGTACCCAAAATACTAGTATTGGAAAATCCAGATTAATAGATTATATTAGGCCTATACTTTTTAAAAGGAAGCTATTCAAGCTCAGGCTATGCTCTGGCACTAGACGGTTTGCTGCCAGTATGAAAAAGTGGGGCATCGCAAACAGTGACGTTTGTTCTTGTGGACATGTACAAACCCATGAACATGTGGCGAAAGAGTGTGTTATGACAGGACCCCCCTGTCCACTATCTGAAGTTGACAACCCCGAGTTAGTGGCATACATTTACCCACTGCTAATTTTAAACAGCAAGCCTATATTTAAATGTACGAGATAATAATAATAATAAGTATAATGAATTTTAGACTAGTGATTATAATCTTACCAGCGAAAAGCAATGGTAATTAACTTATGGGGGACGATTAACCATGAACCACATAATTATAAGTCCTACGCCTATAGTAAAGGAAATACATAGAATTTCCGACTAACCTTGATTTCAGCAATACAACATACTTTTTTCATTTTTTGCTTTATTAGTAGTAGAGTTGTTTTGAAATTATAAAAGAAAGAAAAAGAAAAATTAATTATTAATCCAATGGTCATAAGAAAGCAAGTTTCTTGATCACAAGTTATTTTGTAAATAATAAATTGTAACACACAGTTGTTACTATTTCTATTTTTATTGATACAAAACAAAGAAGATTTCACTTATGAAGACGAAATTGCATCAATCCCAAACTATTGTGTCATGATGGGTTAATGATTAATGATTAATCAATGGTCATAAGATTATGAAGCAAACTTTATAATCACAAGGTACAACTATGTCTTTTATGATGTCTGATAAGGAGTCGTTCACAATTATCAACATTTTCATAATTGTACAAACAGTACTCTTTTTTGGTACCCCCTTCCTCCCTCCCTCTGAAAGTGTACAAAAAAAATGTTGATTTTACAAAAACCATTCTCCATTTTTTGTGAAGTCAACTAAAGCAATGTACTTGGTTGCTTAAAATTAATATTATATCCATGGTTACACTATAATTTTACCATTATTTTACATATTGCATGTTATTTTGAATCAACATTTTTATGCATATGTAAAAGTGTACAAATATGTTTACCCCATCCGACCTAGCGTACTGTTTGTACACAGGGGTGGCGCCAAGATTTGCCCAACTGGGGTCCAAGGAGGTCCCCAACAGGGGACTCGACGACCCCGACAAGGGGGAAGATTTCCCCGATGAGAGCAAAGTGGGCATCGTCGAGTGTCGCTAAAAATGTTGAGAAAGTGGTCCAGGGGGTTTGAAAATTGGGACAATTTGGGAATTTTATATGCTTATTTAATCGATTTTAGAGTCTCCTAATATGTAGAAAATACATATAGTATATTGTTCTCCCCAACGAATTGTGGTTTTTCTCCCTGATGGTGGCCCTGGGCCCCCTGCTGGAGCCACCCCTGTTTGAAATTGTTGATAATGTTGAGCAACCCCTAACCAAAGTAAATGTACTATCTGCCAAAAAACATCAAGAAAAACCTCAAAAATTAAGTTAAAATTTTGAATAGGTCATTTTGAAAGATCAAATGAATTATTAACTTCCAACCAGAAATGGATTAAAAAAAGTTTTACTAATTTAAGGGCATTGCAAAAGAATACAGGAAGTTGAAGGTCATTATGAGAAAATACCCCAGATGTGACAGGACCCTGGGATTGGGAGGCAAGAATCTTAACCACCAAGTGGTTCAGCTCTACTCCTGTGATACATTTTCACATAAAACATCATAGTATGATTGACAAAGCTTAAAGCACTATCAAAACATTGAAAATGATTGTTTTCTGATAGAAAATTTGGGACTTTTGTTATTTAGCACTTCAGCATAGTGTATATTTTTCTTTTTGGAAAATGAAAACTGGACCAGACAGGATTTCTAATCATATGACTTTTCTGCCTAGCCTTTAGTTTCAATGTTACATTTACATGTGCCCCATTGAGCATGCCTAGATTGAATTGTCCAATACTGAACAGCCAGGCCAGACTCTTAACAGGAAAGAAACATAATACCCCAGAAATAATTTTTATGTTGAAACTATAAAGATGATTTGGTCTTTCAATGGGGCTGATTTGTAACATGGTGTTTTACAATTTTATTTTATCTTCCTGCATATCATATTTGTAATTTTTGATACAGAAAGTGCTTGTGCAATTTGGACAAATTATTATAAAGATTTAGATGCAATTTGTAGGAATTATTATACAATTTTAGACATTTAGTTTAACAAGGCTATACATTTACATCATTTAATTATCAATATATATAGTATATATACTGTATATATAAAATACATATATATAATACACATATTAATATACACTCACACTTCCCACCCCTCCCCAAAAGGAACATCTTGGATCTACCCGATATTATTTTAACTCATTTTTAATGTAGGCCGTAGTTTAATATAATTTTATAAATGTGTATGTTTTTTTGTATGAATATTGTTAAAGTATTTAGATTTCTTTCCTCAATATCAGCTGACTATCTGGACTGTTGAAATGTTTACCCTCTTAAAATATGATACAAATAAATTTACATTAATTTGAATTGTTCTGGTTATCTGTGTATATATTTTATGTTCAGGACGTGTCTTATATTACAGTACAGTGGATTCCCTCAAGAGATTTCTTTTGTACGTTGTTGGTGTTGATTTCCTTTTACTTACAAGTAAAAATCCAGTGTCCAGAAAGCTGTACACACAGCAGGTAACAGTAACTCACAATCTCACCATACCAAATCTTGATTTCAATTAAAACTCTCACACCAATAGATTTAAAGTATAATCAACAGTTATATCTATTTCTTGCAAGCTGAGCAATTTATTTATTCTTTGGCACTATTGAGTAATTCTTTTCTACATATAGTTGCATGATATAGTATCTGTAAAAGCTTCAAGCAAAATTCTAATCCTATACCATATGTAGCAATATAAATGTTCTTAGAACATACACATTACAACAAAAGTTGTAAATCTGCGAAACACCTGTTTCATTTTTCGATACCTTAAGTACTTTAAAACTTATTCTCAGTAAGACTTCTTAATCTTCTTAATTTACTTTAATGTTTTATAGAAATTTTACTTTGCATAAATATTTCAAAAACTTGTGTAGTTGTGCAATATTTAAAATTCATAAAAATATGTGTAATATGAATTACTGTCATTAAAAGAAGTTTATTTGTATAGAGGCAAATTATATTTTAAAGTACGATTGTTAACCTTTTGTTTACGTTTTGTCAGACACATGACAATTCAGCCGTTTGGCTGTACTCTTAATTATCTCACATTACTTGCAAGATATCCACTATGTTTATCTCTTTCTAAGCAATTCATTTACAAAGCAAAGTTTTTTCTCTAAGGAATGACTCAAAATACTTTTCTTTCGTATTGACCAAGATATATATATTCAATTATTAATGATTATACCAGTCGTTTACAGTGCATATTAATAAAGGCCGCTATGCGCTCACATTATCACCCTGTCACTGGACCAAACACCTAGGAACACATTCTCTCCAGGAGAGTGTTCCATAACATTAGTTAAACCTACACATTAATACTTTGGCCTACCAGGTATCAACTTATACACCTTGGTAGAGACAACAGGGATAAAGTACATTTTCCCAGGACACTATCAAGCAATCAAAGTGGGAACCAAACCCCCAAGTTTGACAGAATGCACCACATTCATTCTACTAACCACTCTAACAATTTTTTTTTTTTTTTTCGAATCATCAATACTGAATATAAAATGTGAATAACTTGAATACTAAAGATTAAAATCTTGAATCGATAATTGAAAATAAATAAATATAAACATAAAATATATAATCTCATTAATTTTATATACACACTTGATGTATTGGTATAATCTTATATCAAATCTTAGCTGAAATAAATTTACAATTATATACAAATATATTTGAGTATTATCAAAATTTACATATTATAAGAAAGTTCCATCAAACTCCGATTTTACTGAAAAATATAATCTGTTGTTTAGTACAAGTCCAATCTAAGTTAATCATTTTTTCTTTTAACATGGGTGGACAAATTGATACACAAGACGCTGGGAAACTTCTGTCTTCTTCATGATTCCCTTTTTGTAGTATTGTCGGATCGATCGACTCAGTTTATCGTAATTCATTGCCGGTCTGTTTTTTCGCAGTCCCCACAAACGAGCAACTTCAACTGAATCTTCAATCTTGAAAATACCTGAAGAAAAAATGGCAAAAATTGGTTGTAAATGACAGTTACAGAGTCTGTTGATTTGTAGCAATTTAGGTCTAAACAATGACAGGAAAGATTGGGTACTAAGCAGAAACTAGCTTTCAATATTATTAGTTACTATCATTCATTGGGTGTGTTTATCTTTCCACAATACTTAAATCTTTGAGCTTTGTATTTAATTAAAAATTAACAATGCTTTCAACTTTCTTTTAACCAATATTTTAATATTATAAAATCTTTTAAATAACTATTATTTTATCATAATTATTATGATTATTACTGTATTATCATCAAATTATAAATTTTATCTGGTTTCTACACAATGAATTTACTTGAATAAGATCTTTAGAATCAACAGAAGCAAAAGAATTCCTACCTTCTGTTCTGTTAAGCCATCTAATACAATAACTGTATGAATCTGGTTGCAGCAACAATTCTTTCAGAAACTGCCACAGATGAATACCGCCTTTGTGGTTTGGGGTCATGGAGGTGTTTGGGCCGGAAGCAGTTGGTGAAGGAAGAGATACTTCATCTGTGGAAAACAAAATAACAATAACATTTAGCAATCAGAAATTTACTGATTATATGTACATGTATACTGTATGGGTGGTCTTTTTTTTTATCTCTATTCTATGGAGATTTAGTTTGGTGACTAAGACTCTTGCCTTCCAATCCCAGGTTCATGGGTTCAAATTTTGTGAGGATTTTTTTTTTCTCACTACTGAAAAAGTGCCTTCACTCATTAAGACATGTAATTAAGAATTAGTTTAAAGCATCACATTATTTCCATTTCTTTAATAGGGTATCACATCATCCACAACCTTTAAGCTGGAAGTGTCACCCTCTACAGATATGGCTTTAAAAAAAGAAAGAAATGACTGTAAATATATTATGAATGTAAAAGAAAAACCTACCATCACTGTTTGAGCCAGTGCTTATGTTGTCGCTTGGATGTACGTACATGTATTCTTCAGGTTTGATCTCAGGCTGCATAAAAATCGATGGCTGCATTTGTGGAACTGGGTACATTTTGGCCGCTAAAATGGAAAGAAAATAGAAGTTCTTGTTATTTCACAATGAAAAAATATTGACTATATGGCATCTCTCCAACTTAACTTACTAAATCTTTAAATATAAGAAAACTTTCAACTGCAATTTAAAAAAAAAATAAAGAAATTGAAATATTTACCTGTTTTCCAAATGTCGAGGTGTGCATAAAGAATGTCGCCACATCGTGGGTCAATATGTCGGAAGTTGATGTCAGACAACATGCAGAGCTGATAGCCATTCATGGAAAAACACTCCATGTTAGCTGGTTGCATACCATAGTGATGAAATGTCCAGAGGACCCATTTCTCTACCTGCTCATGTGTCCAGTATTGAGGATCTGTAGTAATGAATTCAAGAAAACTTTTTAGACATCGTCACAAAATGTATTATAAATATTAACTTTAATAAAAAATTATAATAAACAGTAATATTTTTGTAAACATCATATTTTCAACTCTGTAACAACATGAATGTATTGTCATCATACATTAATTCATGTATAATTTCATTAAGTTGAAACAATAAATAATTCTTGATACTGAACTACTTCTTCAAGAGGTAGATCAAATCGACATGACCCTAAACAGTGACCATTCATTTTTTTTAAATTAAGATACATGATATTGGTAAGGTAGAGTACTAACCTTGTGGAATATTGAGATATTGACAAGCGACTGTGATATCTTTCATAACCTCTTTCACGATGAGTTGCTGTACTTGTTCCATGCTTTCGTTCTCGTATGGAGGACTCTCGAACATAGACTGTTCCACGTCCACTGGTGACTCTACCGACCTTTCAGCTTCAAATGGACTGGTAGGAGCAAACATATGAGACTGCTCCACAAAGCCTGGGCTACGATTGTAGCTATTACTGATGTCTAAAAACGACTTATCCTGTAGAAAGATAGAAATTTATAATTCAAATTGCGATTCTGTGGAGAGCTTTTAGTGCGTTCTTTGTTCTGTTCGAGGCGTTGTATGTAATGGAGTCTGGAGGAAGTGTCGTTGACAGGAAGTCAACACTACGTGTACAAGGTTAACGGTTTAACGATTTCCTCATAATATTGCAGTATACGCGCTAACTAGCGCATTTTCAATTTCATATGGGACTGAAAGACCAACACTCTTATATCAACATAGATTTAGCACACACGTATTAAGACATAAATTAAAAAAAATATTGATCTACTATTGGGTTGAAACAAGGTTAGAAATATATCAATGTAAATGGTACACATGTTTAGATCATTAGTTACATATATATCTAGCTACCAAATGTTACCTTGCAAAGGTCGCGATGATTCTGTTTTTTAATAAGTAATCCAACTATCGGTCTATATTCTACTTATGAAATATCATAATATGTGTGACCTCACGTTCCAAGCGGTGAGTCATAGTTCGCGACTGTGATTGGTCAGTGATCTCAGTTACTTATTGACACTGGAAATGAAAGGGGAAGTCCCGCATCGCTCCCTCGGTTACCGCACTATTACTGAAGTGTTGTCTTCATAATATCACAAGTTTTGTCAAGTGTTTACATGTTAACATCTTATTAACAGGGGTATGCAGAGTATCTCTTCAGTTAATTGCATTGTATATATAATATTAATATGCAAGACATAATTAAGCCTAGATCAAAGTCTTTTTATACCGAAGTGTACAATGTTATCTTACATTTTATTAATGAATAAAGTAAATATAAAAAGGTGGACCACATACCTGGTCTTGAAAGTTAGAAATTGGGTTTAGCAGGCACACTTCTCCCATTTTTTCTTGTTTAAGTTGGTTGAAAACTAGAAGATAAAAAACAAACATGTGTCACTTACAGATTATTTAATTATAAAACTAATCACTTTTCAAAACTGGAAAAAATGATAAAGCAGCTTGTTGAGTAGTAATATTAACTTACTTCCCAATAGAGACTACTACTACTATCAATTAAACAATATCTAAAATATTTAAATAATGGCTATCTCTAACAAAATACATTATGATACAACAACAGATATTTTCTAAAATGTTTTGGAAAAATAAATCCGATTTTCACGACCTAGATAGACGACAGATGAGATGAGACATAATTGACCCCCACGACAGACAGGTTCACAGTGTATACATCCAGGAGTCGAAAAACCCAAAACATCAACTTTTAAAAATAATCGCTTACTTTTTGATTGTTGAGATTCCAGCGTTGGCGTAAGTAACCTGGATATATATTCAGTAAACTAAGTCCTAGGCTGCGTTGTATTGGTATGGAGTTTCGATTGTGAATGGTGTAATTAAAACGATGTTTTCACTTTATAGACGGTTGACGTCATCGTGGACCGCCTTCTTTCCAAAGCTCTCTGTGACGTCAATGGTTGACTCAAGTCACGGTACTGGCAGTGACTGTTATCTTATCAAATGAATTATTCATACCGCAGGACGCAGCCTAATGAACGTTTTTTCAACGCGATTCGTTGAGGTTTGTTATTTTCACGCTGTTTCTGTTTATAACAAACTAGTTTAATTCAATTTCAACGTTAAGATGTTTGGTTGCTGCCATGATTAATATCGATTTTACTATGTTGAAATCTGAAAAAAACTGTAAAGAATTGCGGTACTGTTTAGTATACATTGTCAATCAGCCAATCGATTTGCAGCGTGATGCCGTCATCGTTTGACACTAAATATAACTATGATGACATGGCTGTGAGCCAATCGGAGCAGAGTGTAATGCAGGCGATTTTCCATAGGAAGTGACACGGTCAATGACTTTAGGAAAGCATGCCAATTGTCAGTAACAACAAATGTGTTCTGGCAGTAGGCCATTATTTTGAAATATATCCGCACGTTCACCAAATCATTTGAAATTTTCCGATGCGAACCGAGTCACTTTGAAAACATCGATCGTAAGATACCTTGGCCTTCTTTATAGCCTCATAGGTATTCGCTAGTATTAGTTTATATAGAACAATCAATTTCATTGTTTTCTTGTCATTTTTATTTACAATTTCCAGTTTCTTTGACCGGCATAGTCTACTGCTATACTTAATTTTACAAAATCCAACCTTTAAACCAAGAAATTAAATCTCTTACCCTGTCTTTAACACTCATCATTTGGGGTCAACGAGGATGGTACAAGTTCATAGGTTTTTATATTATTTTATGATGCATTAGTCTAGTCAATGGTATATGTAGGGGAGCGCATGCCCCCAGAAAAGTTTCGTCCCCTTAGATTCTCTACCGAAGCTGCACAAAAAATACACTAAGATAGTTAAAAAATCTCATGGCATCTCATTCCCCAGGTAATGTAGTCTCCCTCACTTTCTAATCGCCCTCTTCCCCCACGTCAACCCATGGCAATATTCGTGTCGTATAGACCATTTGGCAGTAAGCCTTCATGTGGCCCGGTCATTCCCCGATGTCTAGCGTCATGTTTTTTTCTGACCAGGTTCCTTAGGGGATGCATTAGTAGAGTAGCGGTAATTTAATATTTTGTTGATGTGGAAATTTTTAATCCAAGGATTTGTAACGTAACACCAAATAATTATCCCATAAAGCATATTAAAAGATTGTTTGACTTCAAAAAACAATAAAGTCCTTTCAAATTTTAATTGTACCTTTTTTTTTTAGTGCCTTGCTCTGCAGATTATTTCACCACATACATAAAAGAACGTGCTATATTTACAATTAAATAACCTCTAGCACCTCCTTGACTGTACATTCCCATTTGCAGTTTAAGCCGTATGGTATTCAAAGTTTTTTAGATTTCACCAAATAAAGAGAAATTTTAGGAAATTTAAATTTAGACGCTAATAATAATAAGAGTTTAAATTCACAGAGGTACAGTGGAGATCTTGGTCCCCCGGTTCAATTCTATGTGTTATTTCCTCTCCCACCTGGTTAAAAGCCCCGTTAAAAGCAAGTTTCAATAGTACACCGTCTTCCGGATAAAACCGTTTGAAAGGAGATGGCCCGCATTTCTTCGACAATTTACCAACAAAAACGTTCATACTCCTGATGTATCTCACCTTCACCGAAGTAATGTGAAGACGGATTTAGAATTGGAATTTGTTCTTGTAACGAATTATTGGGTTTTTTAAAAGAGGAAATAGGAAGGGCGACAGAATCCATTTTTATTGAATTTAACTTCCCGGGTTTGAGGAACCATTTGTGAGCATGCTGTTTGATCTTAAATGTTAATAATTACTGGGGAATGTTTGGTAACCTAACCCAGCCATGGAGGAAAGAAACAGATGCTATATCTGTACGACATTGTTGGAATTGGTTATTGGTGAAAAGGAGATAGGTCTCCTTTAAGTTCCACGTTACTTATTTGAGTATAATCAAGGAGGTGTACATACGCCATTGGAGTAGGCCCTGTATTATACTTCCTTATCTGAGATTAATCAGTGTTTTTTCGGTTAATTGAATTACTTTAAAATGGGTAGACCTAATAATATTAGGCCTAGCCTACAACATTCTCTATAGTAATGTATTAGTATTAAAGCTCACGCAGAGGCGGATTTAGAGGTAAGGTTTAAAAAAAAAATTTAATTTTTAATATAAAAAAAAATTGAAAGTGTCTGTCTAGGAAATAATAATTACGCTGCAACAATGTCGAGCTGGTTTGATTTACAAAGATGGTATTTGTCCTTTGTAACAGCAATTATATTGCAGAATTACACTCCTTTATCATGCACTACCTTTTATCAGGTTAGAAGAGATAGCAATACATCAAAAATGATTCCATAGATAATATTAATTCTTTGAAATAATTTACCAATGCAAAAAAAATGTACCTCTGGTTTAAGTTCACTTGCAAGTTCACTAGTTCTTCTGCAAGTAATTATAACACTTTTATGACAAGTATTGTCTTAGTTAGTTTGAATTAGGTCTATTAGATTTTGTATTAATACCTATTAGGTATTGTGATGCTTGCAATTTTTAACGCACTTTCCATTCGGAAGTACCGGTGATGTAAATTGTAGTTTTCATGCATACCTTAAAGCATGACATTTACAGCCGAGTGGAGATGAAATTTGGACGTCAGTACCTGTAAGTGTTTAATGCGTTTTGTTTGGAGTGTTAAATAGGCCTATATTGTGTGCATCTCATTACCTAACATTTTTTACTAGTTATTATTGTTGGCCTATTGTATTCGGTAGATATCAGGGAATACTCCTTGCGTTCTTGTTATGGAGGCCTTCATTTTACTAATCATCGTTTAACACATTTCACGAATAATGATATAAGGCCTAAACAGAATTATTTAGACGGGACAACAACGATCGCCCACACTAATCTGACCTTCAGAGCTATGCTTCAAGTGTTTAACTTAAATTTTATAAAAAGTTTTAAATGATTTTATAAGACGTTAATTTGAAAATATGATGTCATATGCAACGTGATTTATCATCTATCCAACATTGAAACAGCTCTTAACCAAATAAATGAACAAGCTGATAATGCTTGCAACATTGACCTTGGAGAAAAATTTCCTTTCTGAAATTACATTAAAATCCTTGTTCAAAGAATATACTACTTCATAGACTTTTGAAAGTGTTTGTATGAAATTATAAATACCCTCTAACTTTTTTTTCAGACAGACGGATCTCAAGCTGGTTACAGAAGTGGAATTTTTATATTTGTAACAACGATTTTAGTAAAGATATAGACACTTTTCATGCCCTACCATATCACAAAATTTGAAGAGTTCGCAATACAAACTGATCTCATGAATAATTTCATGAACATTTGGAATTAATTAACTAATTATTATTATTATTATTATTATTATTATTAATAATAAAATAATAATAATAATAATAATACTATTAATAATTTTGTATACATCACGCACGTAATTCTCTATTTTCTTGGCTTTCCTTACGAAATAACGAATTGTTTATACTGCAGCAGTTTAAACAGGAAAATACTCATGATACGTTTTATTCAAATGTTAAACCCATCGTATATGATTGTACTAGTTTGATTCTTCGTTATATATTACTTCTGTTATCGATGGCTCTGTTGGAGAAACAAATCATGAAATATTGAGAAAATGTAGGCTTATGTTCTATTCATTTCTGTTGGTAGATTTTAGAAGGAAATCACGTCATGCGCCAGGCGTTTAACTAATTATTTTGAGATACAACAATTTAAAAAAAATCCATTGATGTTGTAAATGCTATTTGTGTCTAATAAATACTGTATATAGGCCTAAATCCAAGCATATCCATTAGTACTGGACTGATGCGTGTGATAAGTCTCTTCCGTTTCTTTCTCATCATAAATCGGTTCTTCGAATTGAATCTTGTTAGAACGTTCCGATTATTCTTGAAAGTTCAAAGGTGTCGTTGCATTGGAATAATTTGCTTCATTGAGTACTGGTAGTCAAATATGTCTCACTAAATCGATTTGTTGGTTTTCTATTGTATTCCGAAATAAGAGGTGTTTGATTAAATGGGTACGGCACACCTTTCCTGCCCTTAGCTATTATTGTACCATCGACCGGCTAAACATTGATCTTTTACAAAGATTTACTGAAAAGGCCAAAAGTTTGTAGTGAAAATTGGATGGTTGGATGCGACTTTGTTCAGTTCCAGGAATGCTCTGAATGAAACTTTTTTACTTTAAACTTCATAACCTGAATTCTCAACCCCAAAGCTCCATTGTGGTTTGTCAAGCGAACTTGGCCAACATGAGTTAATTTGATTGCTTCGTATTTTAAAGGTCGTTATACCTATGCTGAGGCTGTCATCTCTCTACATTCGAATTGGCCTGCTTATCCTTATTAGTTCTCAGGATCTGCGTGTTCACTAGGCCTTACCGTACTGTATCCCTTCTAAAGAACTGTAACTACAGTACCTGTTATTCAGCGTTCAACTTCCTTGATTTGAAACAAATTTTATCGATAATTCATATAATTTTCCTATTTTATTTTCAATTTAAACATGTTTTCATCACATCCGATAATCATAACAGGCCTGGGATTATATTTATCATCGTCGTCGTCGTCATCATCATCATTATCAACATCATCATTATCATCGTCATTATCACCACCACTACCTCCATCGCATCATCGTCATCATCATCATTACCACATCATCATCTTAATAATTACTTTTGAATGATAATGAACATTTATTTTCTTGATCCTTAAAATGGATACCGGTATATATTTGTAGTTTATAAACAATCATTTTTTTTTCTGCGTACAGTATTTTCATAAGATTTGACTATTGCCTAATCGTGGGATTTTGTCTTGCGTATCTTTCTTATGATTCAAACCCATAGCGTAACCCTCACCCTAATTTCTAAGTCATTACACTATTCATTCTGCTGTAACTTCTG